AGCCGATAATCGGGTTGACGGACAACTGGAAATTCACCTAGGCAAGTTGTCCAAAAACCCTGATTCCAAACCAACCATGAGGCCTACTTACTTTACCTTACTACGACTGGCTCCTTGGAAAGGATAAGCCGGCTCCATAAACGTCTCTGATGACCGCTATCCATGCTTGGCGGTTTGCTGCAAGACCCTCGCAAATGTTGATCCAGTTTGTTTTCCATCGGCGAGTGCCGTACATCATCCTAAGACCAAGTTGGTCGATGTCTTCGAATACAGCGTCCAGCCAGGTTTTTACTTGCCCCCCTTATCGGCGGCGCCAGCCAGGACATGGTGTCGCAGTCAGGACAATACTCGTGAAAGTGTCGTCGGGTCTGCGGAGAACGTGGCCCAGTCATTGCAGTCGGCGGCGTTGTATGTGCGTTGAGAGACGGGCAACGTGGCATCGATTTCCGAAGTCCGCGTTTGAGACCCTGTTCCACCAGTTTACTTTCAGGATGAACCGAAGACACCAGTGATTGAAGACCTCCAATCGTCTGATGTCCTCAGCTCCCAGCGGCCAGGTTTCGCAGCCGTATAGTAGGACTGGTCGAACCGCTGTGGGAAACACCTTGAGCTTGGTTTCGAGGCTGATCTCGTTCCGGCGCCATAGGGTGGTTCGGAGCTGCAGAAATGCCGTTCGGGCCGTGGCGATGCGCCGCTTTACATCATCTTTGGCTTGTCCATTGGGTAGGATGGTGGTCCCAAGATACTTGAATTCCGATACGATTTTTATTGTCTGACCATTCAGTTGCAGCGAATGTTCTGCTTGATCAGATGGAGTAGTGAACATCTGGGTTTTGTTGGGATTAATCTCAAGGCCGATGTCAGAGGCAAATCTTTTGATACGATTGAGAGCTGTTTGCAAGGCGGTCAGTTTGGCCGCGTACGTGTATGCCTCACTGTAGCAAATCGATGAAGCACAAGCTGAGTAAACGCTTTTGCAGCCACATCTAGCAGACTGACGCCCCGATAATTCTCGCAGTGCCTTGTCGCCCTTCCTGGAGAACGGAAGTAAAACCGGTGTTCCAATCAGTTGGACATGTTTCGGTCTCCCAAATAGAGCGAAAGAGAGAGTGAAGCGGTTTGATGACCATCGGAAGGCATTTCTTGTATATTTCTGCCGGGATTCCGTCTCCACCAGGGGCCTTACCAGACTTCAAGCGACCGATCCCTGCGGTAATTTCCTCTATCTTCAGGAGATCACAGTTGACCTCGTATGGGGATGCCATATTGGAATGAGTATCCACCGAATTACCCAGCGGATGACTGAGAAGTCGACTAAAATGTTCTACCCATCTGGTCATTTTACATTTATTGATATCGGAGATCAGTCTCCCGGAGGAGTCGCGCAGAACGGGTTGTAAAGATTGTCTTCTACCGGACGCTGATCTCATGAGGCGAAAGAGATCTCCGAAGTGGCATGCACTGGCTGCGGTTTCCATCTTGACCACTATTTCGTTCGAGTAGTTGCGCCGATCTGCTTTTGCGGAGCAGGTTGCTTCGCGTCTGAGTCGCTGGTAGTCGTGGTGGCCAGCTAGACGGGTGTTCCTGGCCAGGGTTGAGCGACGGATGATTTCCTCTGATATTCAATCTTTGTAGCAGCGTTTCTTGGTACCAAGTTTGTTTATTGCAGCTTGTTGTACCGTAGCTTTTATCCTGGACCACTGCACATCAGTGGAGTCTGCTAAGTTGACGAGTGGTGCAGACTCATTTGCCAGTTGGGTTTCAATTTCATCCATCAGGGTTTCTGATTCCTCGCAACACTCTAATGGGCCCACATGGATGCGACTCGGAGGGGTGGTCTTGATACGAGTAGTCAGCCGAAGGCGGAGTTTCGCACGAACCAGTATGTGATTAAAGCCACCTCTGTTGCCCGCTTCAGCACCGCGATACGATCTACAGTCTTCTACTGATGAGATCCAGCGTGATCGTATCAAGATATAGTCGATCTGGTAGGCTGTTATACCTTCATTGGAGTACCGGTAAGAAGGTGCTTCCTGGGGTGCTGAAAACACGTGTTGGTTATGGATAGCCGGTTGAAATCGGAGAAACTAATTAGCCTGTCACCGTTTTCGCAGCGATGGCCGAATCCAAATTTTCCAATTATTTGTTTAGTTGAAGGTTCTTGTCCTCTCGTTCGAGCATTCCAGACTCCCGCCATGATAAGTACATCTCTGTTGCGGATACGATTTAATACCTCTTGGGGACTGGTAGAATTCGTCCTTCGCTACGTTGTCGGATGGTAGAGTGGGGGTGTAGACTGCTACCACGGTGAGGTTGGTGGGATTACCTCTGAAGCGAGCCA